AGTGGGAGAGGGAGAAGCAGGCTTCCCGCCGAGCAGGGAGCCCGATGTGGGGCTCGATCCCAGGACCCTGGGATCATGACCTGAGCCGAAGGCAGACACATTCTTAACCCCAAGCACAGGTCCTTCTGTCACGTTACCAACAAGATTCCTTTATAATATTTAAGTACATTGCATATAATGATAGTAACAGTTATACTTTTACTATCTGATGATTGAGACCATAATAAAATAGAAAAGTCGCCATAAATTCAGAAAGACTGTTAAGTGAGCTTATTAATCCCCACAGGATTGACACACACTTGACTGTCTGCCACAGGTGAGAAATAATGTCATTATTCAGACTCCCAGCCTGATGGTTTCAAGAGCCCCGTTACCTAATTTCACATACTACGGCCAATATAACCGCAGTTGGAAACCACTAAAAACAAGGCAATGGGTTCTAAGAGCTAGTGCTTTTAAATCTAAACTATTCCTCTCACTGTTCCATTATTAAATATTGTCATTCAGCGTTGTTACCATGGAATAGTTAGGGATAGTGAATGCATGCCATGCACACCAACACCTGCTCATCCGGTACCCACCTGGCAGGGAGGCTAGCATTCTCTCCTGCTGAGTATTTTCTCAACCCAGGGTACCAGGCAGGTACAGCCAAGAGATCCGAACAGCCCTATTGTGAAAACCTAAAGCCCTAAGATGGACAAAATGCGTAACGGAAAACTTGGTTCTCTCCTCACAACAACCAGATGCCACACCAGGAATGTACAGAAAGTGAGCTGCTACAGCTGCATGGTCCTCAACCTGTCTGAAGACAGAAGGAACTCGTCGGGATCCAAATGACCACTCAGCATGGACCACGCTGCTGAATCACACCTGACCTGACACACGGCAAATGCTTTCATGTGATTCATTAGAACCAAACAGTATATGGCATCGGACAAGGTGGCAAGAGTTTAATTTAATAACTGTAAACGCAGCTATAAATTGTAATCATACCACAAATAGTTCTTCACATCTGTACTTACTTGTTGCCAGAATCAGGGACCCAAAGGCAACAACAATGACCAAGATGGCACAGATGGCATCCAGACGCACGGCAAACCATCGGGACGTTGTCAGGAACAAGAACCATGCCTCTGGATTTGGGGAAGCAAAATAAGCAAAAGGAAGAAGTAGAAAAACCACGTTAACTACTCTGAATGAGGGAGAGCATTTTGCAAGGGTGAGCTCCAGGAGGTTTTTACACAACATGGACAGCAAAGTTCCACACCTGAGGAACCTAAAGGTTCCAGAAAGCTAAGTTCTGACACAGGACGATGTATGGTCCAGGTAAGAATCCGTACAGTGGCTTTGTGGGAAGCATGCACTGAAAAACTCAACCCAGAGATTATAAACAAAAATAAGATCATCATAAAAAACATGAAAAAATGGGCTCATCAGTGCATTTTTCATAGTGCCAAACCTCAACGTGAGGCTTGTCCACTCATGTGGTTTACTGTTCCCAGTTCTGATAGCAGAAAGCACAGCAGCTCCCACGTTGTTTCCAGCACCTTCCATACTTACTAGAGGGCCCTGCACAGTGTCTATTCCTTAGGATCCAGTAGCTCAAGGATCACTTTTGCTACAAGTACCTACTTGCAGCTTTCAAAATGCCATCCTATCTTCAAAATACAATAAAGATTGGAAAGATGGGCCAGGATTTTATAAACTTAGAGGAAAATCTGAAGCTTCTACATAGCAAAAAACTTCACAGATACAGAGAATAATACATATCAAGTGGGTAGCAAATCTGATCATCAGGAAACTGATTTCCTCAGGAATTTCTGTCACCCTACATGATCTGACAATAAGAACTGGCAAACTACAATCTGTGGGCCAAGAATGGCCCACCACCTGTTGTTGTAAATAAAGTTTTATTTGAACACAGCCATGGCCATTTGCTGAGGTAGTATCTTTGCCTGTGTTCCTGTTACAACAGCAACGCTGAAGAGCTGCAATAGACAATCAAGTACACAAAACCTAAAACATTTACTATCTGGGCCCTTACAAGAAAAGTTCACTGACCCCTGCCCTAAAAGGACAGAAAGTCACAGGGAGTGGTAATGGAAGGACAATGCAAGCCACTGGGATCTCAGGGGAACGGGAAGCACACAGAAGATTCTGAGGAGTCATGGCAGAGAGGAGGGGACGAAGACATGCTGAGGAAGGATGTGGGGCTGGGCCAGCGGCAGACAGAGAGAGAGGAACTGACCACTAAGGACAAGAGAGGGAGCCTATCCCGTTCTTTGAAACCATTTCCAGCAACTTACAGACCTGAATGCAAATCCTGATGAGCGTCAAACAGTTCCTGGAACCTCTCTTCAGTTTTATATGCCCGGATGGTCCAGAGTCCCTGGAGAGAGCACGACAAGTGGGAGAACACCGGACTCCGCGCTGGGGAAGCAGAGACAGACACAAAGCTGTGAGCCTGGGATGTGGGGAAACCAACTGCCTCCCATGCCCTGTGGCTTCATGGCCCCCCAAAGAGCACACCCAGAGCTCTGTGACGTCAGGCTGCTTGGGGAAGAAGGGACGGTGCCCCTCCTGGAGATGAACAACATGTCAACCCTCAAACTCCTGGTCACACCACGCTTCACGTTAAAGACCTGAAAATGCAAGTTTCTCTCCGAACCAATCTTGGACCAAATTCAAATCCTTCCTAGATCTGAATAACTAAATTCTTTCTTTGCTAACTCATTTGTCAAGGTCCTCCTCAGACATGGCCTCCCTCCATAACACTTCCCCGACAGCCCTCTGGGAGGAAATTCTGTTGAGTAATTTTTGAGTCACTAACATTCTTAAATTTAATTCTGCTAGAGTACTCACCACACTGAATTATGACTGCCTATCTGTGTGTCCATCTCTGCTATGTGACTATTACTTAAGGGCTGGGATAAAGTCAGCGCATCCCTGAAACTGTAACAGGTGAGTGATGTGTAAGGGTCTGGGCAGCCTGCCATTCTCCCTGCATCCTGGGGCATCTCCCTGTGCCTGCTCCCGTGCCAACAGTCTCTTTCCGGGGTACCGGAGAACCTGGGTATTGCACTGCCCTTGTGCCCACAGGGCCTGGGCAGCCATGGTGTCTTTGAATAGTCTGGACTTTGGCTGGGGGAGCCTGCCCTGCTGGACACCTGGTGTTTGGAGGTCGCTGTGTGACACTAACATCAATCACTCTTCCAGAACCTGACCATGAACTCAGTAGCCATTCTCTTCTGAATAACTTCATGGTGGTCTGGGGCCTGATGTCATCCAACCGGCCATTCATTTCCCTGGTACCTTCTCTAGGAGCACACTGTGTGTGGGCACCAAGGTCTGGCTCCCGCCAATCAGAGAAGAGGTGGGCTACAGGCTGCTGGGCACCATGAATGAGGCCATGACCAGCTATTGTCGGGGCAGTGCTGCGAGCCTGGGACCTCTCTCTGGGATGAGTAATACTTTGTGCTTTATCAGCAGGTAACACTGACTTATTACCTTGTTACCTGTGCACATTCTAAAAAAGAGGTGTTAGTAAAATCCCTGGGTGTTCAGGGCAAAGGCAGATCACTTATCTCATGAGAGGCTGCAGAGGTTTTATAAAATGATGGGGAGAAACCACTTAGGGGAAAACTCACTTATTTTAGAGCCTGACTCCTTAGCCTGGCATCCAGATGCCTCTCTGTGTGAGTTCAGTCAATGCCTCTGTGCATGTGGGCATTGAAGGTATGGGGGGGCAGATGCTGGGTACAAACGTGCAGAAACAGGACCTCCTCTTGGAGCTTAGTGACCATGGTCCTCAAGCAAGGAAGGAGCAGACTTCTCCGTGTGAGACACTGGCATTTAGAGAAGATGGGACACGCTGGGCTGTGGGCCTCTTTCCTGACTGGGATATCTGACTGGGATATTAACCGTTAAGGGCCCTCACGTAGGATACTGCTTTAAGGAAAAAACCTTCTCTGAACTGAGGCATGAGCTAACATTTCCCCTCGTATCTACTTTAGGCAAAGAGCCTCAAGTGAATTCAGTGGTGGTTTGGACCGTCCAGGTTGTAGGTTTCTGATCTAGGATCCACACCACCCTCTCTCTTCATTATACTGAGGAACCTTTAGCCTTTATGCATTTTAGCTTCCATTAAATTTGTAATTTTAAAACAATAATATGAACATAAGGGACCAAGGCCATGCTCTAAATAAATAAGGCTGAAGGTTCTGAACAGGCCTTTTTTTGCACTCCCTAGCAAATGCCCAAAACATAGTCAATGTGGAAACAGGGTGCTTAGCAAGATGACTCAGGAGAGTTCCAGGCCCATGACTCTATCAAGAAAGTACCAAAAGTCTTAAGCGAATTTGGGGACATAAACGGTTTTATCACAGACAACATTTCTGAGAAGGAAGATGTGGCCATTCACTCAAGGAGAGACCTTGAATGAAATGCTTCCGTGTGGCCATCCTCACTGGCTTCCCTCATCAGCAGATCAAGGTTGTGATTGATCTTCCCTGGTTAAGGTTTCAGGGCAGGGTCGACTTCAGAAATCAGGGGCTGTCCCGGCCTTGAACACCAGGGAACCCAAAGACCACATCACCAAATTTACCTCAGACCCAAGAGTTACAAGTGGTATAGCAGGGTTCTGTACCAGGGAAAGGCTATCCTGTTCTTTCACACACTTAGGATTCAGCGGGATGCCAGGATGATGAACTGGAGGGTCTGCAATGAAAATTAACTGGCCCCGTGGAGGGAAATGGAAAGCGAAGGCTCTGGTATATGCTCTTGCCCAATATAACGCCTTTCTCCCCACAATGACTGAGCTGGCCATCCTGAAGTAGACCTCTAGAGAAACCATGGTGCTAGCCAGCAGTCTGACAAATGCAACCCTACCTTTCACGAGACTGACAACTGTGTGTCCCACGCCCCTGAGGACTCTTTGGGACATACCCTACAAGGACTGCAAACCCTCCTCAGGAGGGAGAGGGCAGGGAACTGCCTCAAGGACCTGGCCAACAGCCCTGCTGTAGGTTATCATTCACGTTAGGTGAGCCCTGCTGGTTGTCATGTTCTTAATTCCCTCACGTTCAAGGTTCTAGCACCTCTCCATGTGGCCAGGAAGCACTTTACAGCCATCAGCGCAAACAATCCTCACGAGAGCCCCAGAGGGCAGGTGCGATTACATATTTGACAGAGGGCAAAGTAAGCAGAGGGATTAAGAACACTGGCCAAGTAGTAAATTAACTAAGTGGTAGAGCTGGGGGTCAGACCCAGCTCTTATTCCCAATGCTATATGCTTTTTAATCACTGCCACAGTGTCTCAGAGGGAAAATAAACAGGTTAAATCAAGATGCCAACATGCAACTAAATGCATTTTTCTCCAGACTTTGTAGTTTACGTTTAGAAAACCCCCAAAATCATCCTTAGTGCATCTCCAGTAGCCCTATCCATTACTGTGTATCTTATTAAGCACCTGGAAATCCAGCACGAGAACTAACAACAGCAGACGTGAGTGTCTATGGTCTGAAACACGGGACACACGGTTAGCCCTCCCCAGCAATGCCCACGGCAGACATTGCTAGTTGATCACAGTACCCTTACACACGGAATTTGGATGTAGCTTCATAACTCCGGCATTGCCAAACGATGAGAGCTGGCTAGGATTCTGGTTTTGTGCACTTCTTTATGATTGAATGGTGCTACCATGCTCACTTTTGCGAAAATGGGAAACCATTATGATCACAACTGCATATGTCATTAAAGTGGCTTAAATGTTGGCCTGAGGTTTCAGAGGCAGCTGGGCAGTACGATCTGAAAATCATCCTCGGGACTTCAACAGCCCTTTCAAAGCACAAGGAGGAAGCAGATTTATGCCTGGTAGCCACAGCAATCAGGTATCCTCCTTTTATCCTCCTTTTTGCTGGTGGGTCCAGCAGCGGCCACAAGAAATACTCACTTACTGCTTAGAGAAAAACAAAAGAATTGTTATTTATGGCACAGACCTGTGACCCAGATAGATGACGACAAACAGTTCTAATCAACTGGCTGCCAACGTTTGGTTATCTGGGTGCGTGGAGGTAGGAATATCTGTACTTAATGTATTGTTGTAGCCTACTGGGGTGCAGGAATATTCCACGTTATTTCCAAATATCCTACAGGGGCCATGCTAACGTTCTCACAATCTCCAGATCAAACCCTAGGATAACCCTATGCTGTTTCTTGAAAAAGACTCAGGAGAGCCCCTTCTCTCTTATTCCAGAGACCCCGTTTGAATAAACCTGAGACCTCCTGTAGAACAAGACTGATGACAACAGACTCCATTTCATGAGTGGCCTCCAATCCTAAATGTCTGAAGCCTTGTTGTTTACACAAAAGACTGGCTGGAGCTCATCACTTATTCTTCAACCTTCTCCACGTCCCGCCATGGTAACATCACATCAGCCCGATGGTCCACACATCTGGACAACACTGCTTTGCTGCCCCAAGGAAACACCCCACAAAACCACACTTCATGGTAGTTTAGCTGGTTCTCAGAGGACTGAAAAAGTTTTCTATAGCTTTTATGAAATCAATGCCCATTATCCTTTATGCAAACACTTATGATAAATCCCTCTCAAAAATTTTTATTAACCAGGGCGCCTGGGCGGCTCAGTCAATTAAGCGTCCAACTCTTGATTTCGGCTCAGGTCATGGTCTCTGGGTCATGAGATCAAGCCCCGAGTGAGGCTCTGTGCTCAGTGTGGAGCCTGCTTGGGATTCTCTCTCTCTCTCTCTGCCCCTCCCCTGCCCATGCTCTAAAACAAAACAAAAAAAAGAAACATGCATACATCATAACAAAAAAAACTGTATTCTGATGAACTTGTATTTTTCCACTTGGTAGATCAGAGAACCATGAGACCCAGTGTTTCTCTTTTTAGCTTGGCGTCCAGAAAGCTAAGGTGGTATTAATTTGCAGTGACTATCCATAGTTGAGGTTTCTGATACAAACATCTTCCTTTTTTATGTTTAGGTCTTTACACCCCGCCCTTTTTTTTAAAGATTTAATGTATTTATTTGACAGAGAGAGAGAAAGCAAGAGAGGGAACACAAGCAGGGGGAGTGGGAGAGGGAGAAGCAGGCTTCCCGCTGAGCAGGGAGCCCGATGTGGGGCTCGATCCCAAGACCCTGGGATCACGACCTGAGCCGAAGGCAGACGCTTAACGACTGAGCCACCCAGGCACCCCCCCCCTTTTTTTTAAATACAACAATCAACACTCCTTATGACTTGTTTTAGTAATAATGAAATATGTTTGTGCATTAATGAGATAAGCTCTGAATTACTTCATCCTCTGTAATTAACCGTGTTTTCCCATTATTCCAAAACTAAGAAGTTGTATAGAAAACATACTAAATGTATACCGAACAGAACCCTCTCCTGTGTCCTCCCAGGGGAATTATATTCAGGATCCATTTATAGGAACAGCCTAAGGGGAGGGGGGGAACGTTAAACAGTGTGGCATGACAGGAAATACTAGTGATAATAAAGAGTAAGACTGAAAATAACAGTGCTTGTCTTTTCAGAACATTTAACAACCGCAACTTTTTTTTGCCATTTTTTGAGTGTGTGGTAGTAATGTATTTTTCAAATGTATCACTTCTGACATATGACACCTTCTTCTCCTTTCCCTAATCTTTCCCTTTCTTTGTCATTTCTAGACCCTTCAGGGGAAGAAAAATTCCGTATTTTCGCTTTGTATTAGTTCCAACATGAAATATTTCTTTAAAAACATTGAGTACCTGCTCTATGTTAGGAAGTACATCATGACCGAGACAGAAATGGCCCCTATCTTCATGGTGCTCACATTCCAGTGGAGCTTTAATGCACAGACATCCCTGTCCCTTCCTGGTGGCCCTGGCAAAGCTGCCCCTGTCCCTTCCTGGTGTCCCAAGCCACCAGCACCATTTGTTCCAAGTGCCATATTGACTCACGGCGGACACAGTATTCGATGATTTAATGTGAACTTGGAGAAAAAAAAGTCTGGAAGATAGAGTCTGCACAGTTTCAGGGGCCTCCTTAATTACAGCATGAATGGAAGTGAGCCCGCATCGCCATCCCAACCTGAGAGCCTCTGTACTCACTTGTAGATTCCAGGCGTTTGACATCTCTCGACGTTTCTAAGAAATATCGCCGAAGAACAAAGAAAAGGATGCCAAGGGGAATCAGAGGTATCGCGATCCACGGGATCACCGCCACCGCCACGCCTACCACACCAAGAACTTGTAGAAACGTCTGAAATAGGGAAAATAGATACAGAGGGCTTCTTATGAAGAATTCTCTTCAAACATAGACTGTAATGGGTTGTTCAGTTCAGATTCAACTCCTTTCTTCCAAAGACTTGTTGGAATGACAGGGAATGCTTTCCCATCAAAGAAATAACAATATGATAGGTGGTCCTGATGATAGTTATTGCATACTTGCAACGTGCCAAACACAGTAAGAAACTTTCTAGATATGAGTTCTTTTACTATGCTCAGTAGCCCTAGAGGAGTGGCATTACAATCTTCCCTATTTAGTAAATGAGAAAGTTTGAGACTCAGAGAGAGCAGGACTTGAATCCCAAACTATCACGGGTTGGTAGTATTATCAGGGAAATCAGCAAGTGGGAATCACAGAGGAGGAATCCGTAAGACTCAACTATACATGTAGGGATAAAGAAGTGGTTAATTACAAATTCAGTGGAAAAATTTAAGTGTTTACCTTTGGAAGTGGGGATTCCTCTTTCTTGGCTTTCTATCCACAATTAACACTTACTGAGTGCTCACTGCGTACAGGACTACCCATTATATATTTCACGTGTATTAACTCATTTAATCCTCAGAATCGCCCTACAGAATACTAGTACTATCTCATTTTACAGACAGAGACTGAAGCACAGGGAGAGGAAAAGCAACTTGACCAAGACTGCAAAGCATTAAGTCACGGAGACAGGGAGCCTACGTCATTAGCCATCATGATATATTTAAGCTGGTCCTCAATATAATGCAAATTTTATTGTTCAGGAATACATTCTTGACTTAATTGAGCCCCCTAATTTGCCCTTAATTTTTCCTCTAAAGACCTTACTTAAGGAATTTCAGAGTTCATCAGCATGCCTCATAAAGAAAGAAGAGAAATACAATGCAACCCATTTTTGATATTTCTTAAAAATCTGATGAAGAATTTTGATAATAAGGAAACACAAGGTCTTAAAATTTTTTTAAGTTTTATCATCTGGGCCAACAGACACATGAAAAAGTGCTTGACGTTACTAATCATGAAGGAAATGCAAATCAAAATCCACAATGAGACATCATCTTCTACCACTCAGAATGGCTAGTATCAAAAACACAAGAAATTACAAGTATTGGTGAGGATGTGGAGAAAAGAGAACTCTCACGCACCATTGGTGGGAATGTAAATTGGTGCAGCCACCGTGGAAAACAGAATGCAGGCTCCCCAAAAAATTAAAAATAGAAATATCATGTGATCCAGCAACTCTACTAACTGGGTATTTACCCAAAGAAAAGGAAAACACTAATTTGAAAAGAAACGTGCTCCACTCTATTTACCACAGCATTATTTCCAATAGTCAAGCTATGGAAGCAGCCCAAGTGTCCCTCAATAGATGAATGAATAAAAAAGAATGAGGTCGTGCCATTTGTGACAACATGGAAGAATCTAGGGGGCATTATGCTAAGTGAAGTAAAGTCAGACAAAAACAAGTATTATATGATTTCGCTTATATGTGGAATCTAAGAAGGAAACAAAAAGCAGAAATAGATCCATAAATACAGAGAAATGATGGTTGCCAGAGGGGAAGGGGGTTGACAGACAGGCAAAATGGGGGAAGGGGAGTGGGAGATACAGGCCTCCAGTTATGGAACGAATAGGTCACAGAGATAAAAGGTGCGGCACAGGGAAGAGAGTCAATGGTACCGCTGGGTGTTGTATGGGGACAGATGGGAGCCATACACGTGAGCACAGCCTAAGTACAGGGCGGGAGCATCACTATGTTGCACACACGAAACTAAGGGAACACTGTGGGTCAACTATACTTCAATAAAACAAAGGCTAATCCTTGATGCCCCATTTTTATAGGCCGAGCCATCATATTTCTGAAATAAAGATTTCAAATGAAAATACGACAAAAAATTGTTTTACTGCCAAAACAACAATAAATTTTGTCTTCTGGATATTAAATTTTCTATCATTAGGATAAATATTTACAATCTTTATTTCAAAGGCTAATGATGGTAACAAGAGCAGGCACCACGTGTCAGGTGTGAACTGCACACAAGGAGCTGAGTGGGGTTCTAGGAACACTCAATCATGACCTCGATCCCAGGAGATAATTTTACCTTGGGAAATGATATTGGTTAAAAAGACCAGGAAGCAAAGAAACCCAAGTCACTGCATGATGCTAACTGAAGTATCCATCTTTGTCAGGAAAAGTAGGACATCATGGTGCACGACTTCAGGAGATATGAATGCAAAGAACCCTTCGCATCTGCCTGCTAGGACACTGGGGTCGTCGAGTGGTGGGAATGGGCGAGTTCGCATGGCATGGGCCAAGGCCTCCGAAGTTTATGAACTCAGATGGATACAAACCCAGAGCCATGTGCACAAGCCACAGAGGGCTGTGGAAATACAGGGAAGAATCCATGAACACAGTTTAGAAGGTTCCGTGACTTATGACCGAATTTCACAGGCTAGTTTAACAAACAAGGAGCGGCAATGAATAACTTGCAGTAGTAATCACAGCTGACGGACACGATGCCCAAGAGGGAGCCGGGCTGCAAAGGTTAACCTAGGTTGTTCTGTGGCCTCTCAGAAGGCGCGCCAGCCAGGGCAGCAGGCCCCAGGGCGCATCTCCGAGGAAAGGATTAGCAGGGTAATGCCTGACAGAGACACAGGTTATCATCTCCCAGCTATTTCAAATCAGTTTTCTCAGAGCATCCTCACAACCAGCTTCTGAATGAGAAAAGTAGGAGTTGTCATTTCCATTTGCAGATAAGGGATATGAAAGCTAGGAGGTTAAGTAGTGGTCCCAAGTTCTCCTGGGATGTTGCTGTGTTACAGAGAAAGCCAGGAACAGTGCCTGGGCAGGGAATCCTGCAAGCAGCAGGTGCATGGGGAAAGGAGGAAACTTCCAGAACTATGAATGTGTGGACAGGAGCCCCGGGGAATCAAACTGCATTATTTTGATGTAGACTCATGTGCTTTTATGGTTTCTGCCAGTCCCCAATGTGGTATCCATACAAAACCCAAAGTGAAGAGGCATGGAATTCTGAAGGAACAAAGTCCAATCATAAATGGAGGAAACAGGGCTGTCTGGGCCTCTCTGCTTTCATACCTACACCTGACCAATTTCTGACAGCTACTGTATTAACTGATGTATCCCACCCTCTTACACCAACTAGGAAGCCAAGCTTCTTACTTCACACTCATGAAGAGGGGTCCTTCTAGCTCCTTCTATGTCTGGTCTTAAGTAATCACTAGGCTTGCCACTATTAGTTGTCAGGAAAAAAAAATATGAGATGTTGTTAATCATAAAAACATACAAGTTTACAATTTTTCGGATGCCTGGGTGGCTCAGTGAGTTAAGCATCTGCCCTCAGCTGAGGTCTTGGTCCCAGGGTCCCGGGATCAAGTCCCGAGCTGGGCTCCCTGTCCAGCTGGGGGAGTCTGCTTTTCCCTCTCCCTCTGCCCCTCCCCTTGGCTTGTGCTCACACTCTCTCTCTCAAATAAATAAAAATCTAAAAAAAATTGACAATTTTTTCAGCAGACTAACATCATTTGATTGAACAATTATTCACCTGTTCCAACTACCTGGCTCTCCCTAGGGTGGGATCCTTTTATGGCTAACCCAGCCCAACAGATTACCTGGGCATCAGAGGTAAGCTCAAAACACAGGGCTCCACTGGAGTTGTACCAATGCTCTCTTTTCTTGGGTAGCCATTGAGGACCACTAACTGCTGCTACTCTCAGAAACTCCCAAGTTAGGTTAGGTCTTTCAGATTTGATGCCCCCAAATTCTGAAGCAATTCCAAGAGGGTTTCTGTAAGAGTTTATTTCTATTTGTGGGTCTTGCTATAGCCAGCCTCACAGTGAATTAGTTGTTATACTATACTGTAAAAACATAATGTGCAGGTTTACATTTATACATATTTACGTATAGACATATATTAATCTTTTACTGCCAGCAAACTTTTTTTAAGTAATCTCTGTGTCCAACGTGGGGCTCGAAATCACAATCCTGAGATCAAGAGTCTCATGGTTTACCAGGTGCCCCCTGCAGGCAAACTCTTTATGGAAGTTGGCAAGGGACAAAAACGGTATCCAAGCAAAAAAGGTAATATTCTGAAGGGGGAAACAGAAGATTCTGGTGGACAACAAACCCCTATCCCTTCCTTGAAGGGATCTCATTTCTTCCTTCCATATTCTCAGGAATTCCAAGGAGCCTAATGCAAGGTACACACTCATTTTCTCCCATCTGATTGGATTCCAAGCCTATTTGATGACCCACGCCCTCAACCTGTGCTTCTGTGCCTCTGATCATGCAAAGGCACAGAGACAATGTTCTATACACAGCAAGAAACACATTGACCCAGAAGCACCTGAGCCAATCCTTGATGCCCAAGATCTAAGGGTAATCGTTATTTGGATAGGCTTGCATCCCACCTGGAACATACCAGTTAGGAACGCGATCCGAAATCTCTGAACCCACAGGAACAAATACAAACAATTCTTGTATGTCGTTCACTTGAGAGGACATGTGACTTTTTCTAATTCAGAGTAATTCTGCAGCTTACAGAGAAGGTCAGCCAAGGCCTGGAGGGAAACTGCATTCGCCTGGCACTGTGCTATCTGACAGGGTCTAGGACAACCCTCTTGAATAGGAACAGGAGAAGTAACCCATTTCACCATTTCATCTTCACTGGGATATCCCACCAACATAAAAGGCTGAGGGGAGGTAGTGGGAATTAAATGAGATAATGTATATAAAGTGCCTAGCAGTCCAAGCTTAACATCCTAAGTACATTATTACCCTTTCGTGTGCTCTGGAAGCCAGGATCAGAAGAGGAGGGATGCTGCATTAACAGATTTATGGGCCCAAAGAATCTTAAAAATATCATGGAAGTTGGATCCTGAGACATGGCTCACTTTAACCACTGGCGCAACTTAGTACCACCCAGAGACTCATCAGAGCAGAAGTTATTGCCCCCTGCATGTGGTAATGATGTCACACG